CACGGGCTTCTCGGCAGCGGGCGAGGGGGGGCACGAGAAGGAGAAGGCGCACTCAGGCGGCGGCGGGGCTTCTCGGGGGCTTCCCAGCCTTGGAAGAAGGCTTGCCCAACTTCTCAGATGGTCGGGGGGCTTCGAGATTTCTTAGAAAACCCGCCACTTCTCATTGGGAGCTCGCCGCCGAGCTTTGTCTTGCCCGCCCTCGCGCCTCGCGCGCCCCCTTCGCGCGCGATTTTCGCTTCGCTGATCCGCGCCTGGACGGGCGCTCGAATCGCGCGGGCGCCTTCTTCGAGCCGCGGCTCGCAGAGCATTCGCGCATCGCGCCTGCCACGTCGCACCGCGGCGGGCCCCCACTCGCGCGGCCCCTCGCCATCTTCGGCGCCTGGCCCCCCCGACGCGGGACCCCCGCGCCGCGCCCTGGCGCGCGCCATCCGCGGCGCCCAACCCGCGCGCGCTCACCGGCGCACCTCTCTCACGGAAGCCCGGGGCGTAGCCGAACAGCGGAAGTCGGCTGAGCCCCCGAAGCCCTGCCCCCCGCTGCCTCGCGCGGCGCGCTGCGGCGAGCGATGGTGGACTTCAGTAGTTTCTTCGTGGCTGGGCACTAACGGCAGCGCTGCTGCCCGCGGGCCCCGCCGCGTTCCTCTGCCCAATGAAGCTCCCGTGGACTCGTCGCCGCGACCTCTCGCTGCCTCGCGATCGCCCGGGCCCCAGCGGCGACGCCGCCCTCTCCGCGCCGGCACCAATGACCCGCCGCCCCCCATCCGACCTCAGAACGGCCGCTGCTCGGACAGGTGCACGGCGAATCCGTTGGAATTGGCACCTCATAAATGCGCCGCGCCGACCCGCCCGCGCCCCTCGGGAGCGGCTTCGCACTCGGTGGAACTAGCTAGGGCGCCCCGCTTGCCAGCACGGGCCCCGGGTCGAACTTCGCGCCTGGGGCAACTGATTCAACGCGGCCACGGAAGACGCCCCTCGCGTCTTCTCGCGCGGGCGGTGGCGCCAAGCCCCCAGAGCTGAGCGCTATCTGCAGGCCGCCGCCGCTTCGCCAGTGACGCGAGCCCCCCCTGCACTTGCGCGAACGCGCGTGGCCCTCCACGCCGCTGCTAGCGACCGCCACGTCGCTCCTTTTCTGCACGGCCAACGCAACGCGCGGCCGCCCGCCGAAGCCCCGCCGCTGCGCGAGGGCTTGCAGGACGGCCACCTCGCGGGCCTCGTCGCCGACCCGGCGCCCCCGCGCGCGCGTGGCGCCGCGCGGCCCGCGCGCGCTCGGCGGAGGCAGCTCGCTCGCTCGCTCGCTCGCTCGGCGGAGAACGATATTTTCTATTATCCTCGCCCCCCGCCCCCGCGACTTCTCAGACCCCCCACGCTCGCCCCCCATCCATTGCCAAGGCCGACCTGCGGCGCCGCCGCCTCGCCGATCTCGTCGCCGATCTGGCGGCCCCCCCGCGTGGAGCGGCGCCGCGCGGCCCGCGCGCGCTCGGCGGGGCAGCTCGCCGCTGCCGACGCCAGAGAACGATATCTTCTTTGATCTTCGCCCCGTGCGGCCCCGGGCTGTCTCCGCAGCTTCTCGGCCCCCCGCCCTCGCCCCCCATCCTTTGCCAAGGCTGACCTGCGACGCTGCCGGCTCGGCGACCTCGACGGCGATCTGGCGGCCCCCCCCGCCGGAGCGGCGCCGCGCTGCGTTCGCGCGCTACGCTAGCCCGCCCCCCCCCCGGCCGGCCCCCCGACGCGCGCTCGCCGCGGCGGTCGCGCGGAGAGCTCGCTTGCGCCGACGCGGGAGGCGGGAAAATAATAGTGATGGTGGCGATGACAATCATGTGATTGATGGTGGTGTTGATAGTGATGCCGACGATGACGAGGATGACGATGCGGACGGTGTGAGCGATGACGGCGGCGATGATGATGCTGATGACGATGTGAACGGTTACGGCATGGGTCCCAACAGTGATTGATGCGGGAGGGATGTCTGGTAATACGGGCTGGAGAAGGTAAGCACATGTGCGGGAGAATAAGGAATCTCAACAGTATGACGACGACGACGACGACGACACTGCGACAACAACACCACGACGAGCACGGCGGATGATGATGATGATGATGACGATGATGACGATGATGATGATGAGTATAGTGATGATGATCATCAGGATATGGATGATGATGATTTTTGACGATGGTTATGATAATGGGGAGGAGCGGGAGGAGGAGGAGGAAGAAGAGGAGGAGGAGGAAAAGAAAAAAGAGGAGGGGGAGGAAGAGGGGGAGGAGGAGGACGTAAGCGGGGGGGGAGGAGGAGGAAACGGAGGAGGAAGAGGAGGAGGAGGAGGGGGAGGAGGAGGAGGACGTACGAGCAAGACGGGAAGCAGGAGAAGGAGGAGGAGGAGGAGGAGGAGGAGGAGGGGGAGGAGGAGGAGGAGGAGCAGGAGGAGGAGGGAGCGGCCGTGCGCGCAGCAGCGTCACGGTGCTCTTCCAGGGGCCTTCGCCCCCTGACGGCCAGGCAGGGCCGCCCACGATCCCCACCCGAGGCGATCCGATTCGTTGGGCGCTGGGGCCGCGATTCCGCTTCGGTTCGATTCGAACCGGCTTGCGGGCATCAGCCGGGGCCGAACACACTTAGTGCGAATTCATGGGGGGAGGGCCTCTAGAGGGGGGGAGACAGGCGCCTCTTTCGGGCCCTACAGGCCCCCCTTCTGGGCCTTTCAACCTTCAGCGGCCCTGGGGGGCCCCTGTTCGGCAGCCCCCGTTGCCCCCCCCTTCATCGCGGTCCAAGCGCACCCGGGCGCTTCGATCCGATTTCGATCCAGCTCGGGACGAGCCGCTGGGGATCCCAGGCCCGCTTCCGACCTTGTCCGGCTTCGCGAGTCGGTCCACCTCGGCCCTGCCAGGCGACCTCCGCGCACCGGAGGAGACGGCGCCGACCAGCGGAGACGGCCGCGGCGGCAGCTGCAGCGACGCGTGGCCGCCCCCAGCCCGGCGCGCCTCCGCCGGAGGGGGGTGCGCTCTGGCGTGGCCCAGAGGTCCAGGTTCGGCCCGTCGTCAGGGGGGGAGGTGGCGAGGATGAGGAGGGCGACGATGAGGAGGTCAGAGGAGCAAGAGGTCATGATAATGGTACGTTCCGAGATGTCCAAGGCTTTCCGGATGTCCAGTATGTCCTAATGTTCGGCACCGGCTGCGCCGCTAGATACTCAGGAAATGTTGGAACGCATCCTGAGCCAGCCTCATCATGACATGATTCTCGCCCTGGGAGGGCTCAGGGCTCGACTCGATCGATCCGACCGCCGTAGCTTGATTTCGATTCCGATCCGATCCGAGTGCGAGCCGAGTCCCTCTCGCGGGCCTGCAGGGGACGCGCCCGATTAGCGATTAGAGGCGATCCGATTCCGACCCAATTCGTCGACGATTCAGGCGCGATCCGACCCAGTGCCGAAACCGATCCGATTTCGCGCTCTGATCCAGCTCAGACTTGGGAAGGGGGAGGAGGGAGGGGGGACAGAGGAGTAACGAGGGCCAAGAGAGACAGACAGGGCGCGGGCGCAATGGCGACAGGCTGCCTGCGTTCCTCGCACGGGCATCCCGTCTGCCTTCCTTGGCCCCCGTGGGGGGAGCTTTTCTGCTCCTCTTCTCATCTTTCCCGTTCCTCCACCCCGCGCTTTCCTCGTTGTCTTGGCATCCCTCCCTCTTGCCGCTGCTGCTGCTGCTGCTGCTGCTGCTGCTGCTGCTGCTGCTGCTGCTGCTGCTGCTGCTGCTGCTGCTGCTGCTGCTGCTGCTGCTGCTCCTCCTGCTGCTCTTCACCCCTTCGTGGCCCCCTCGCTGCCCTTCGTGGCCCCGTTGCAGCCCTTCGTGGCCCCCTCGCTGCCCTTCGTGGCCCCTTGGCAGCCCTTTGCGCCCCCCCCCCCTCGGCGGGACTCCCTGGGGACCACTCCCCGGGAGCCCCTCGCCCCGCGGGGGAGGGACACCGCAGGGCAGGAGGAGGAGGAGGAGGAGGAGGAGGAGGAGGAGGAGGAGGAGGAGGAGGAGGAGGAGAGAGGGGTGCTCCCCGTCCAGCCCCCCCCCCCCATTCCGGTGTTCGGAGACCTGGCGCCCCCCCCCCGGGGGACTTCCTCAACGGGTTCGGGGGTGGACAGACCTCCTGCCCTGACACGTCGATTGAGGACTTGGCCGTTTTCGGTTCGCGAGAGGGCGTCGCGGCCGTCATGTTGGCGGGTCCAGTTCCGTCGGTTTCGGTCCCAGGCCGTTTTTCACGAAGGGGAGGTCTACTGAAGGGAGGTTTGCCCACCGCCGAAGTGGGCCCGAAGGAGGCCCCCCCCGAGGCCAGACACGGGGAGAAGCCGCACGCGACGGAAGCAGGCTCGAGCCGACGGTCCATGCTGCATCGTGCACCGTCTTTTCCAGGGCAGCGCAGGGAGGGTGTGCTGAACGTGAGCGCAAATGTTTTCGACGGTGCAGATGGATGGGCTGCCCACTCGCTCCTCGTGGTCTGGGCCAGGCTGTCGTCCTTCGCTGGAGGACGGGCGCGTGAGCGCGAAAGCTACCGCGCGAAGCTGTGCGACCCGGGCTGCCGAGCACAAACGGACCCTCGCCAGCAGGAGCGTGCCCATCATCGACGCGATCAGCACTTGCGCAAAACACTTGCGTCCGGAGGAGGAGGAGGAGGAGGAGGAGGAGGAGGAGGAGGAGGAGGAGAGGGAGGAGGAGGGAGGAGGAGGGAGGAGGGAGGAGGGAAGAGGGTGTTGAGACTGTTGAGACTACCTCGAGAAAGTTCTCGCTCGCCGCTACGGGCGCGTACCCCGACCCCAGGGAGGAGACCAGCCCCACGCAGGCTCCGATCGGGGGAGGCCCACAAGGGCCAGGGGGCACAAGGCCCCCGAAATCCAGCACGCCCCAGGAAGAGGCCAGGAGGCCCACGACAGAACCCCCAAAAGGAATCCCTCGGCACTGGACTCCCCCCCAAGGCCGCACTCAGGCCTGAACGAGATCACAACTCAGAGAGTTGCAAGCTCCACCTTGACGTTGGTCACCACCTCCAGGCATCCTATGCACTTCACGCACATGTCCATGTCCTCCTGCATCGGGATGCATTGCACGTACACGTTCAAATACAGGGGGCCGAGCCCGAGCACCCTGACGAGCTGCCGATGCGCTCCGCAAGCCAGGCTCTGAACTCATCCTCGACGTCTGCACCATCCTTGTCAAAGAGTTTCCCAAGCGCGCCTCCCTCCAGGAGCTCTAGGACCTCCTTGAACTCCTGTTCGAACCGCGACTGAGCTTCGTCGACCTTGGAGCCGTCTCCTGCTTCACCACCAGTGTCCACGAGCTTAGGGAAGGCTGGCACGGTCGGCCAAGCGGCTTCCTTCACTTTCTTGCCCTTGTCTTTCTTGCGCTTCTTCGTGCTGTCTGCGTCGAGGAGCGCTTTGAGGCCGTCCTCCACCCGCTCCTCGGTCACGTCGGCATCATCATCCCCGATGTCATAGTACTCGACGCTGCTCACTTTCTCCAGGGAGCTGTCGCGAAGCTCACCGAGGGTCCCGAAATGTCCTTCTTCGGCTTCTTCTTCGTCTGAATATGTTGGTTCTACTGCTGCTCCTCCGGAGTCGGTGTCACCGCCGGTTGCTGCTCCTTCTCCTTGAGTTTCGTCCAGCGATTTGGCCGCTTCCACACACCCCAGCTGCTCGAGGCAGACCGCGACCTCGAGCGTGCCTTCGGCTGCGTCACCGCCCCTTCATCTGCCTGACCTCCCTGGTCTGGACGGTCTGGGCCGTGGTCTGCAGGCGCACCTCCAGCATGGGGTCCGCCTTCAGCTTGCACTCCTCCTCCTCCAGCTTTCACTCCTCCTCCTCCAGCTTGCACTCCTCCTCCAGCTTGCACTCCGCGCCAGGCTGGACGGCTTCCGCATTGGCGACCGAACGGCCCTGGGTTCCCGCACCTTGCCCTCGTTGCTCTTCCTCGTGAACGGCCCGTACCCGAGGTCCGACTTGCCGACGATCGGCCCGCACCCCAGCTTCATCCTGATCCGCTCGTTGGCCTCCCTCCCCCTCTGTCTTGCCAGGATCGCCTTCTTGTCCCGGCACGGCGGGATGATAGAGCCCGCCTTGCTGGGGTGGTGCGCCAGCTGGAACGCCATCCGCGCACACGAGCACCTGCCACCGCAACTGCTCCTGGGCGCCCGCCTCGATGCCCTGCAGTAGGCGACCAAGCACCAGCACTGCGTCGGGGGCCTCCGCGACGCTGAGGCTGACGTACCTGAAGATCCCTGAGCATCAGCCCAGGGAAAGCATGGCCCGCGGCAGCTGCGCCCCCTTCAAGAAAGGCTGCCGTCAAAGACCCCGCCCCCCGAGGCCTGAAAGGGGCTGAGGAGGGAGGAGGGAGGAGGAGGAAGAGGAGGAGGAGGACGAGCAGGAGGACGAGCAGGAGGAGGAGGAGGAGGAGGAGGAGGAGGAGGAGGAGGATCGAGGAGGAGGGAGGAGGAGGAGGAGGAGGAGGAGGAGGACGACGACGAGGCACTCTTTGGTGTTCTCGGGCGCTCGGCGCCCGCGCGGCCCCCCGCCGTGGCAGAGCCTCCCCCCCCCGGCGGCGGCGCGCCGCCGGCACGCCCGCCGCCGCGGCGCCCGCCGTCTGGCGACCAGGCCCGGGGGGCAGGGGGACTCTGAGAGGGGAAGGCCGGTTTCTGTCGGGGGAGCGTAAGACCCGGGTTTGCCAGGACTCGGGTTCGCCATCGTTTTTTGACGACCGCGCCTCGGATTTTGACGAGGAGGAGTTTCGTGGGATGTCTGCAGCGGGAGGCCTCGTCAAAATGCAGGCTCGGCCTCGTCATTTTTTTGACGACCTCGTCGGGGATTTCCGAGTCCCCTGTACCCGGGTCTTACGTCCCCCTGATTTCTGGGAGGGCGGGAGGGGAGGAGGGGGGGCGAGGGGCCGAGAGGGGAGGGGGGGGGGAGGGGAAGGGGGGGGGAGGGGGGGGAGGGGGGGGAGGGGAGGGGGAGGGGGAGGGGAGGGGGAGGAGGAAAAGGAGGAGGAGGAGGAGGAGGACCAGGAGGAGGACCAGGAGGAGGAGGAGGAGGAGGAGGATCATGAGGAGGACCAGGAGGAGGATCAGGAGGAGGCAGATCAGGAGGAGGGAGGAGGATCGGGAGGAGGAGGGCCCGCAGCCATTCGGGAGGAGGAGGCTCAGGAGGAGGATCAGGAGGAGGAGGAGGAGGAGGAGGAGGCTCAAGGCCACATGCGGGATCCATCCCCCCGCACCCGCCCCTCGCGACGCGCCGCGCGGCGCGCCGGGGGGGGGGCCGGCCCCACGCCCACGGCCGCGCCGGCCGCCTGCCATGCCAGCTGGCCGCGGGCCGAGGGCGGACGCGGGGGGCCGCCCGCCCTGAGGGCGGCCGGATGCGGGGGGCCACGCGCAGAGGGGGACTACACAAGTTTCACAGCGTCAGCGGGCCAGCTGGCTCAAAGAATCGCGACGGGAGTTCTGGCCACGAGGCCTCGGTTTAAAAGTATGTTCTCGAAGTCCAAGCATCCGTTTGAGATATCGCATGTTTGCCCACATGTATAATCGCATCCCCGCGGGGGCGGGGAGGAGGGGGGAGGGCTTCTTATAGGGGAACGAAGAATGACATAAACATAAAAACTTGGAGGTCCGCGCGGACTACTCGGACCAGCGCTGGGGCCCCCTGGCGGCGCCCCCAGCGCCGCCCCTGGCGCGCTCCGCGCGCCGAGGAAGGGGGTCCAACGCCGATCCGAGAAATCCGCGCGGACCTCCGAGTTGTTCTGTTTATGTCATTGTTGGTTTCCCTATCTTAGAAGCACACCTGTTTCTTAGAAGGCGCGGGCCTTGTCTATAGATGTAAAGCCGGCGCCTTCTAAGAAGCAGCATCCTTTTAAGAAGCCCCCCTCCCTCCCTCCACCCCCTGGCGCGCGCCGCCACGCGGGGGGGCCCTCTCTGCGGGCGCGAAAAGTGCAGAGTCGGGCATGGCCCTCCACAGGAGGATAGTCCAGTAACGGTCAAAACATTGTCGAGGGACGATCCTTGGACTCTTCCTGACCATTTTGGCACACCTGTTGGCCACTTTGCATTGTCGTCCAAAGTCCCCCCGCAGGAGGACGCGCCCGGCCGCCCGACCTCCGAAAAGTGGCCGAGCTGGGCGCCTCCGCGGCCCGGCGCGCGGCGCGCCGCAGACGCTCGGCGGCGGCCGACGCCGGCTGCGCGGCGAGGCGCGCCGCACACCTGCGACGCCACAAAGGGGCCCCGAACTCAGAGGTCAATCGACCTCCTACCCTGACACGTCGATTGGCGAATTGGCAGTCTTCGGTCCGCGAGAGGGCGTCGCGGCCGTCATCTCTGCGGGTCCAGGGCCGTCGGTTTCGGTCCCAGGCCGCTGCCACTAAAGGGCGGCTTACTGAAGGGAGGTTTGTCCACCGCCAACAAGCACGGCACCAAGCACGACAAGTACGCCGCCGAGTACGGCGCCACGCGCGACAGGTACGACGAGTACCGCAGGTACGACGCCAAATACTTAAAAAACGAAGACTGACAGAAACATAAAGCTCCGAGTTCCGCGCAGATGTCTCGCATCCGCGCTGGACCGACCCCCGTGGCGGCGCCTGCGGCGCCGCCCCTGGCGCACTCCGTGCGCGCGCCAAGGAGGGGGGTCCAGCGCCGATCCGAGAAATCCGCGCGGACTTCCGAGTTGTTACGTGTATGTCGTACTTCGTTCCCCTGGGTACGGCGACGAAATGTCCGAGTGCGACGGCAGGAAAAACATGTTCGTTTCTTCAAGAAGCTGCGCAACAGGCAGCATCACCAGCGTCATCAGGACAAGCACGTGGTCATCGAGGTCCAGGCTCCCTCCCGCGACGTTCGCGACAGGTGCGACAGCATCTTCGGTAGCGACTTGTACTCCTACGACCCCCTGGGCTATTCCGGCGTCCTGGGCTACGACGGGCCGCGGAGCTACAGCGACATTCGGAACGTGGACGACCTGGCAGCCGAAGACTCCGATTTGAACCTCGGGAGCTACGAAGGGAGCGCGTCAACCCGAGATAAACCTTGGCATGAACTTAAAGAAAGGAAACTACGCTACCGAGGAACCCCACGTACATATAATATGTCTGGCGTGATAATAGCTGACGTGAAGCTTGCGAGAGTGATGCAGGTGGCCGTTGCTTCGCCGATACCGTTGGTGGCGCCGGTCAAGCCCTGGGAGCTTGAGTACCCTGAGGGGGTCCAGAAAGGGCAAAAGCTTGGGCGTTACTGGCTAACCGCCACTTTGACCCCACTAGCTGGCTGGGCCTTCCACGTCGCACAAAAAGTCGTTGCCGCGCCCAGAGACCACCCCCTGTGGTGTCGAGGAAGTGCCACGCCTGCCAGGCTTTGCGAACCCGAAACGGACAGGGTGACCCCCCCAACCCACCCTCTGTGGTGTCGAGGAAGTGCCACGCCTGTCAGGCTTTGCGATTCCAGAAACGGACAGGGGACCGCCCCCAGCGCATTCCCTGCGGTGTCGAGGAAATGCCACGCTTGCCACGCTCTGCGAGCCCGAAACGGACAGGGTGACCACCCCCAGCGCATTCCCTGCGGTGTCGAGGATGTGCCAAGCATGCCACGCTTTGCGAGCCGCAACAAATAGGGAGGCCACCCCCTGCGCACCCCTTGTGGTGTCGAGGGAGTGCCACGCCTGCCACGCCTTGCGAACCCGAAACGGACAGGGAGACCACCCCCAGCGCATTCCCTGCGGTGTCGAGGAAATGCCACGCTTGCCACGCTTTGCGAGCCCGAAACGGACAGGGTGACCACCCCCAGCGCATTCCCTGCGGTGTAGAGGAAGCGCCACGCTTTGCGAGCCCGGAACGGACAGGGAGACCACCCCTTGCGCACCCCCTGTGGTGTCGAGGTGGTGCCACGCCTGCCACGCCTTGCGAGCCCGAAACAGACAGGGAGACCACCCCCAGCGCAACCCCTGTGGTGTCGAGGAAGTGCCACGCTTGCCACGCTTTGCGATCCCGAAACGGAAGAAGGAGACCACCCCCAGCGCATTCCCTGCGGTGTCAGGGAAATGCCACGCTTGCCACGCTTTGCGAACCCGAAACGGACAGGGAGACCACCCCCAGCGCACCCCTTGTGGTGTCGAGGAAGCGCCACGCTTGCCACGCTTTGCGAGCCCGAAACGGACAGGGTGACCACCCCCAGCGCACCCCCTGTGGTGTCGTGGAAATGCCATGACCGCCAGGTTTTGCGAGCTCGAAACGGACTGGGAGACCAGCCCCAGTGCAATCCTTGCGGTGCTGAGGGAGTGCCACGCTTGCCACGTTTTGCAAGTCTTGTTCTCAATTTGCGCATTTTGAGTGAAGCCAGGCGACTTGCACGGCTTTTCTGATTGGGAACCGATGAGTTGCGCAACCATTTGCGTTGTGTTGGGTCGTGCTAAATCTTTGAGTTGCAACCTTCCCAGCCGAAGTCGTCGCAAGTGGTCAGTTACCCTGCCTGTGGATGGTTTCGGTCGGCAGTGGC